CTCATTCATGTTATCTGTATCCCAGGACTAGCAAGATACCAGAAGATTTTGATTGGAGTTTCTGTGGGATTCCTCCTGCTGCTCTTCCTTCTTGCCCTACTCCTTCTGCTCAGACTCAGGCACCAGAAAAAATGCAGCAAGGGTGGTGAGTAGAGTGTGGGTGGTCATGTTCTCAGGGGGTACTACATCCCCTTTTGGCTACCCAAGAGGGGACTAGGCAAGCCAGCCCTGTGGAAAGCCCAGACGGGGAGACATCACTTTAGAAACACTTCTGTGAAACTCAGATCATCAATACAATCTTAAAACTTGTGCAGTATCAAGTATCATATGAGTTGTTCCATCTCCTGGAAAATGTGAACACATACACATATGAAATGAGTTGTAAAACTTCTTTCCTTCCCTAAAGGTACGAGGTAAGGATGTTCCACCCTCATGAATGAGACTCTTCTCTTTCTTGCAGTCCAGACAGCGACCAACTTGCAACATTCTGCAGGAGCTGGCGAGCCAGTGACCAGGGGCAGAGGCATCCAGAAGAGGTAACTCAAGGCCAGCGACCTAGACCCCCACCTGCCTGACTCCCCTCACTGCCACCTGACAACCTCCTTTCTCTCCATATCTAGCCCAGCTGCTGCTATCCAGGAAGAAACCTTGTGTGAGAGAAAGAGGGCCCCTGGAGGGGAAATGTCTGAGGTTTCAGCATCACATGGGTGATGGAGGGTCTGGGTAACTTCTCTGAGGCACCAGTCACTATGACACTTGCCAAACACTCATTATGGACCCTTTCCCAACATTCCCTTTCTTCTGTTGCTATCTGGGAGAGGGCAGGTAACTGGGGAGGTGAGAAGTCCTAGGAATTTGGTCAGGGGAAGACCTGTATGTTCTGTTATGACAGATACCATGGTGAAGGGAACACAGATTAAAGAGAGCATGGAGCTGGACATTATGGTGAGACTCTTTTCCACAATGCTATGAACTTATGACCCACTTTACCCTGTAATTAATCACTGCCCTTTTTCCGCTCCCAGCATTACCCACAGCTGGCTTCTTGATTCTGGAAGCACTTGTCTTCTGTATGCTATGACCTCACCCTTGCTTTCTTTACTTTTGGCCATATGGCCATACATTCTGTTCTCACAGCATCTCTCTCTGCTTGCTAGCATGTATCCTGGTCTCAGAAAACTGTGTAAGTGTCTGAAGCTAGTTCAGTGATAAAGTGATTACTTTGAATGCATAAGGCTTAATATTATCGATAAAACTAACAAGTAAGTAAACATGAAATATGAATATATGAGAATCCTGTACCTGACAATGTTTGTATGCACACATGTATAAGAACAGGTAGATGATAGACGTCAACAATCAATGTCTTCTATTTTATTCCACCTCATTTTCTGAGATCGAGTCCCTCAATGACCCTGAAGATCATTGATTGGCTAGATTGCTACCATTGAGACTTGGACACCAGTCTTCCTTCCCCAGTGCTTGGGTACTAGGCATATGCATTCTTGCTTGGCTATTTTTAAAATGTGGGCACTGGGTATCTAACTCAGTCACTCATATTTGCAAAGCCACCCATCTGCTGCTTGACTCCTCTTCCAATTTCCTAGATCTCACTGTTGACCATGCCTCCTGTGGGAGAAGCAGACACAGAGAGAACATAATTCCCCCCCACACTGGGACAAGCTATAGGATGGAATATGTTGAAGACAACACAGAGACTGAGCCTTGCAAAGTGTTTGAGAGAAATGAATTAGAGGAAATTACTTGTGGTTGTGTGGGGGAACATCATCAATGTGAATTTAAAGGAAGGGATGAAAATAGGCTTCTGAAGAGAAATCTGAGTGGAGAGGATACTAGAAACATGATGGACTGACACATCTAGGCAGGACATGGCAGGTACAGGTGTTATGTGGGAAGGAACATTCTCTTTCTAAAAGATGGAGCCCATGGAGTGAGGTCACCTTGTGTGGATAATATGTCATAAGTTCAGGAAGAAACTGCCAGGCACTCAGAGGTCTTAGAAAACTCCAGAGACCCCATCAGCAATGACATGGTTTGACTTAGATGTCTAAAATATTACTTTTCCACCCCACAGAAATCAAGTGGGAGTAGAGCCTCTGGGGCATCAGTATACACTCCCTGTGCTTTGTTTTCTTTTTTGGCAGAACCAACATGAGGAAAATCACCCCAAAGATTTGTATGCCCAAGTGAAACCCTCCAGACTCAGACTCAGGGCAGAGCCCACCGCTCCTTCCCTCATGCCAAAGGAACCGCTGGACTCAAACAACAGGCAGGCAAAAGAAGGCAAAGTAAGAGACCATCAGGTGGGTCCTGGCCTCTCCAGTTCCTCAGGCCCCAGTGCTGAGCACAGACCTTACTCTACCTTGTCCCATTCCAGGCTGCTGCATCCAAGGAGCCCTGTGATGTGACCTATGCCCAGCTGCACATCATGACTCCAAGACAGAGGCAGCTAAACCTCACATCTCTCAGGTCAAAAAGTCCCACTTGAGACACTACTCTGGTGTTTACCTGTCCAGATCCAGGGAGCTCCAGACTCTATATTCTGTGGGGGAGGTAGGACTCTGGGAGATGAGAAAATAGAATCTGTCACAGGTGTACAGCCATTTTGCAGATATATCACGCAGAGTCTGGTAACTTTGGGAACTCAACTGATTATGTAATATCAAAGATAAGTAATATCCCTGCATTTTATAAATAAAGCAAATACTTTGTCAGTACTCAATGGATAAAATGGAAGAAAGTAAGAGTGAAGGAAGTCTCTGATTTTGTTTTTGTGCTTTTCTTTGTTTTTTGCTTTTCTTTCAAATTCAAGACTTTTTTCATTAATTGTTATTGCATGTACATGTGAATATGTATATACAAATTTTGAAAAAAATTTCCTCTGAATATACATGTGTGTGTGTCTGTGTATATATATCATATTGTAAATCATACTTCAATAAAGGTGTAAATTGAATGATGAAATATCTGTAGCATATTGTACTATGAATTTGGAAAAAATCAGAACTGGTCTGAAACAGAGGAATAAGATCCCAAACAGTGACTGAGAAAACCAGGGATAAGAAATAAAGTTGACGAAAGCAGTAGTTGAATCAGAAGGTCTTGCAGAAGTCATTGTCTCATGTCAGGCAAACTTATTAAGAAGCACACTACCTCATATGCTGTTTGCAGTGGGCAAATGGCCAAGGTTAGCAGAGA